CCGTCAATCATTCAGCATAAAAATAAATAATTTGTCAATAATTTATCAATTATTGCTGAATTGGAATATCAGATTATTGATGAATTATTAACGAATTATTTACAAATTGTTTATTATATACCGAATAATTGATAAGTGGCATACTGCTGAATAATCCGATTTTGACTAGTGGATGTTACTTCTGTTTCATTTTTTCCTGGGTTTTTAAACCAAATATGATATAGTTTTTCTGTTTTTCGTAATATTTTTCCCTTTGGACATGTCTCTAGATTGTAGTTAGACCTAATGGTCAGGTTGGAGCTTCCCAGACTCCTGTTTGTACTCATTTTCCTTTTGCTTTTGTTTTTGTTTCCTTTTTATGGTAACTGTATGCATTTGGAAAAGAGTACCTTCTTTGGCAAAAAGTGCTTTATTGATGATGACTTTGATTTTTTTTCTTGTTGTTCTTGTAATGTAATCAATATTATTCACCTTTATGTAATTGTTTTTGAACTTATTTTTGATTTTTTCATACTTCAATTAATATTGGCCTTTAATTAACTCATTTTTGGTAAAAATTATGAAGAAGTTTCTATCTTTGTATTCGATTTTGGAGAAAATAATCTTTAATAATAATCTGGGAAATTCTTTAGGGTTATCTTGAAATTTGATAAAAAAATTAAGAATAGCCACTAGGGTCCTGAGATATTTGATTATTTTGTCACAGTAAGCAAGGATTTTGATTTGTTCATTCTTTAAATTAATATTGCAAATGTTCTTTGCAGAATAGTTATTGATTGTGATTAATAGTATGGCCTCAGTTTCATTAATCCAAGATATAAGATTAGTTGTATTTGGTGATTGTGACTCCATTTGTATAGAAGGTTCATCAATTTCTATTTCAAAAGTATTTTGTATATTAATTAATTTGATATCACTTTTATGTAAAGGGATAGGAATACATATACTGTATATGTTGTTTTAGATTTATATGGATTTGTGTTTGGCTATTGTTAAGAAGTGATACAGGCTCAGGGGTAGATGCAGGAATTATCAGAAAAGAAGAATTTGTAGTACTGTTATTGGTCATGTTGTTTTTGTCAATTATTTCCTCTGTGGATACTAATGTGTTTGAAGGGGTAAGGGTATTTTGATTTTTCTTTCCAAAGTAAGTAAAAATATTAAATTTGTTTCAGAAGATATGTAGGCCATAGTTGAGACCAAGTTTGATAATTGCTCTTATTACTTCAAATTCTTGCCAATTTCTATTTCATTACTTGTATTAGAACTTTGTCTTTTGGTTGCAACAATATTCAAAGGTTCAAACTAAGTTTGGTCTCTTTCTTTTATTAAGAAATTTTGAAGTTGCAAAAGTCTCATCAGCATTTTGTAAGAGAGCTAAAAGGTTTTCATTATGCCAGAAGCAGTTTTCTTCAAGTTGTGGAGTTGAAAAAGAAAAAAGTTAAACTCAGGTTAAGAGTAAAGGCTGTGCAAGAGTTGCTTCAACAAATGTTATTCTTGCTTCCAGCTGGTTTAAAAAACATTTCTCATTTTAGATTTGGTTTCATCTTCTCTTTTTCTTTAAAATAGTTTTTTTAATTCATAGAAAAAAATATAATAGATGTTGAGTTTGTTCTCTAGGCTGGTAATAATATGTAATGTGAATACTGTGAAAGGGAAATTGCATGGTCACATAAGTGTATGCAATGATCCCAAAAATGACAAATTTAAGAAAAATGAGATATCTGTAATATATTTCTTTTCTTTGATTTTTTTGATTTATTTTAGATATTTAATATCAATAGTATCAAACTGTAAATTTTGGCTAACTAATTGACTAAATACTATATTTATTTTTTTTTGCCACTTTTCTATAATTGGGCTCACTTCAAAAAAAATTTAACTTTCAATTGGTTCATTCAAGTTGACGGGCTCTAAATATTGAAATTAAAAAACTATTTATATTGTTACATATACAGTATTGCAAACTGCATCAAAAATATTGCCATACTGAAAGGTTTCATTTTTCATATCAATATTGTTTATGGCTGCAATATTCAAAACATTTGAACTTTGATTAAGTCTCAATGAAGGTTTTGCATCTAACATTCTTTTTTTTTGAACATGTGTTTCATAATCTCTAATGTATGATACTGTCTGAACTGCATAAAGAATTTGATATAATGATTCTATCATTTTTAGTCATTGACAAAGGAAAGAAAGAGCATGTGTAAACCATATTTTCCAATGTTAAAAGGTGATAGTAAATATAATAAAAACAAAAAAAAAGAAAAATTGAGACTATTTTTTTTCATTTAATTGTGATGGAGGCATATTTCTTTCTCTTCATTTTCTGGTTAATACTTGTATTTTTTCTTTTCTATTGCTGAAATTAATCCAGTAAAAAAATTAATAAGAGATGATGGCATAGCACTTTTATATTCATCAAAAGATTCTGGCTCTTCAAGTAATGATAATCTTTTTTTAAACTCAGATCTTTCTTGTAATACAAAGCAAGCAAGTTCTTTTCCAAAAGCTTTGCAATTAGTGTCTGTTAATAATAGTATTTGTTCTTCATTAACTCTTATATTTCTAATTATAAATGCTGTTTTTATTAGAAGAGGGCTTGGAAGTGAAGAAGTAGAAGATGAATTATTAGCATTTTGTTTATAAAGGTTAGTGGTGACATTATCAAAAATTTTGATAAATTCTTTTAACAAGTTATTTTTTGCAGCTTCATTTTAGATTTGGCAGTCTGTTCAATTCATTTACTACTGTAAAAAACTTTAAGGTGGATTTGGTATCAACATTATGTTGTCCTCATTTTGAACATGAAACTGAAGGATGGGGTGCTTTCAATCAAAGCTATAAGTGACCTCCATGAATCACAAAACAGTTTGTACAAATATACAGTCAATCCCGTTAATTCGAAGATTGATAATTCGAAGATTTTGTTAAACCAAAGATTTTTATTAATACTAATTCAATTATATTAAATATTTTACATTAATATGAAGTTTTATAATTAAATTCGTTAATCTGTAATCCGAAAATATTTTCTTACTATTATTAATTAAATATTATATATAAACCGAATTTTTTAAAAAAATTTTATTTAAAATTTAATCAAATTGAATTTATTTTATTATTTTTTCATACGTATTTATTTACAGCAGAGTTTTAGTTGCTATTTTCAGCCGCAGAGGGGGTGTTCTTTATGCACTACCCTTACAGCACTTGTGTATCACCTGTGCATGTGCGCTTACAATGATTTCGAGTGAAATTTCTGTACTATAGTTATTTATATTGTTTAAATAGATTTTCGGATTTTATTTCCGATATGTGGAAATTCGAAAGCTGGAAATCAAAAAGCGAAAATCAAAAAAATAAAGCAAATAATGTTTGTAATTAAAAAATAAAATAAAGAAATAAAAAATAAAACAAAAAAATAAAATTTATAAATAAAAATAAAACAAAGAATAAAAATAATTTCGCATAAATTTCGTGAATTCGTGATGATCCTTTGAGTGTATATTTTTTTTATTTATGTATATTTTCTCAAAAAAAAATAGCAATTTTATTTAGATAAAATTTTAATATAATGTAAATAGCTAGATTTGATATAACATATTAATATTATTTTTCTAGTTTTTGAGAAATTTCATTAAACAATAGAAAAAAATATCTGGTCGTTCTTATATTAAACACGTGATATCGTATATAATGTAAGGGATTTCCGTAATTCGGAAATTTTACTTGAAATCATTGTAAATACACCTGCACAAGTGCCGTAAGGGTAGTGCATAAAGAACATCCCCTCTGCGACCGAAAATAGCAACTAAAACTCTGCTTTTATTTACAGTATCTATTATACAGTACTTATTTTATTAAATCTCTACTTGATTATATAACAAACGTACAGTAATTACCTAAACAGGCTATAATTATACTATGCATTCGTATTGCTACATATAGCTAATTTTATAGAGATAATGATATACAAACAAGTTAATTTTTTAATAATTATAACGAATATAGTAATTTTATTAAAGATTGAAAAGTATTACATAATATATGTTAATATGAACCGACTTTGTAATTACAGGTTAATGTGTTGTCAATGATTAAATCAATTAATAAAGAATCAACCAGAGATAACAATATCCATATAACTTCAGTTCAGGATACACCAGCAAAGAAAACAAATAATAAAAATCAACCTTTGCCTAAATCCCCATCTCCCGATTCCTTACTTTCCAGTTTCCCATCTTCCAGTTCCAAATCGTTGGGTCGTAATTTGATGCTCCATCTAGATTCACCGGTTCATGAAAAAATCGATTTAAATGATTTAGAAAATACATTATTTATGAAAAAAAATCAAAAAATTGATATTAACTGATTTTACAATGTATCATTCAAAAATTTTTTATAATAAATTATTTGTAAAATTTTCATTGAAATTTTTGATAACGGGCCATCTCTGAAATTTTTATTTAGTTACGCATTTTAAATAAATAAAAATATATATAATCTATTACCAAAACATGCAATCCGAGGTTGATTTATTAAAATACCAAATTTCTGAGCTTGAAGCCGAAAAGGCTAAGCTCGAAGCCAAGAATGTCGAGCTTTTAAAAACGGGTTATAGAAGAGAGCACCTTTCTTATATAATTTTTTTGTATACTACCATATTTAGGCTATATATTTAAAAGGCGAAGTATAATTTAACTTAATACATAGTTAACTTGTAATTTAAAGAATAATAAACAAATTCTATTGTTTATATATTAATAATTTATTCCTTAATGCGTTAGGTTTCATATGCTATTATATTTATAAGCAAATTTGTTTGCGAGATACATTAAGGAATAAGCATTTACAAGCAAAAATCTCAAATATATAAATTGAGAATTTTTTAAAAAAATAAATTGGATTCGTATTCCAATTGATAGTAATAATATAAAAAATGAACGAAAATTTACCATCAGTAAAAAATAATAAGCGAAAACACAATTCTCTTACACTTGCACAGAAAATTGAACTCTGTCAAGCAAAAACTGCCAATCCGAATTTAAAAAATGTTGAACTTGCTAATCAATTTAACATTGGTGAATCGACTGTATATGATATATTAAAACGAAAAGATAAATTACTTAATAAAAATCCTAACTCCTATATTGCTAGTCTTAAAAGAGAACGAACACCAAAATTTCCGCAAATTGAACAATCCTTAGCACTATGGCTTGATCAAGCAAATGGTACAAATTTATCAATATCTGGTGAAATTTTACTTCATAAGGCAACAGACTTTGCTCGACTTATGGATATTAATAATTTTACAGGATCTCAAGGATGGTTATCTCATTTTAAAAAGCGATACAATATTCGGAGTATTACAAAGCCTGGTGAAGCAAACAGTGCACCTTTATATGACTTGCCACAATTTCGTAACGATCTTCAAAATCTTTTAATGGAATGGGATCTAAACGATGTATACAATTGTGACGAGACAGGCCTTTTTTGGAGGATGGAGCCTTCTAAAACTCTTTCAATACATCCTCTTAAAGGTACAAAACAAACAAAAGATAGGGTGACGATTCTTCTTACTTGCAATGCAACAGGAACATCAAAACTTGTTTCTACTTTTATTCATAAGTTTAAAAATCCGCGATGTATGAAAACATTAGATAAAAAAAATATATCGGTATACTATTACTGGAATAGTAGTACATGGATGCAATCAAATATTTTTTTACATTGGTTACAGAAGTTAAATCTTGATATGTGAATAGCTAAACGAAAAATTTTATTGTTAATAGATAATGCAACACCACATATAATCGATGAAGATATTTCCTTTAGTAATATAACTCTTTACTATCTTCTCCAAACACAACGGCTCATTTGCAACCCTGTGACACAGGAATTATATATTCATTTAAAGTAAGCCTATTTGTTTTAATTACTTTAATTATGAATTTAAAAATAATAAAAAATTTTATTATATTTAAAGTCTCAATATAGACGCTTACTTTGTGCAAATCAGGTTAATGCTTATGATGAATCTGTTGCAAGTGGAAAACCCATTACTCCTCTTACTATTATGGATGCAATTACCTTTACTGCACAAGCTTGGGATTATGTTAAATCTAGTTCAATTCGCTCATCTTGGATAAAGACTGGAATTTTAACTCCTTCACCATATAATAATACTATAAGTGACGAATTTTTAGACTTGTCTGAATCAAATAATGAAAAAGAGATTCAACATCTTATCAATCTGCTTCCAATTAATGATCCTTTATCTGTTAGTAAATATCTTAATATCGACTCTAAATTAGCAATTGAAGATATAATGTGTGATGAAGATATAGTTAAGATTGTTACTGGTATAGAAGATCCTGAAGAAATAAAAGAAGAAGTTAATAAAATAAAGGTAACAAAAAATCAGGCATTGGAAGGTTTAGATATTGTACTTATGTTTATCGAACAGGATGATAATGAGTTAATAGTAGAAAATTCATTGGTTTCAAAAATACAAAATTTAAGAAAAGAAATACATACGTTAGTTATTAATGCAAAAAGGCAAACAAATCTTGATACTTTTTTTATCGGTTTAGATAAAGAAAAATAAATCATTTATTTAAAGTTTGTATTACAATTTAGATTTTTTTTTCGTCATTTTTAAAAATAGTTTCATTATATTAATTAGTAAAGATAAAAAGAGGTAAAAAGATTATTAAGAGTCGAATTAAATTTTTTATTTATAGGATTATTAAATAAAGAAAAAAAATATTATTATAAAAACTTGTATATATTTAAAATGTCAAATATAATTAGTTTCATTAAATGCGTCTTACTTTCTTTCAAAAATCAAAATTAATAAATTAAAAAAAATTGAAAAAACATTATTTATTTTTAAAAGATTAACTTATTTAATATTTTCTTGTATAAATTACTTCAGAAAATCAATATTGTTAATAATTTATAAGTTTTTTTTAACTTTAGGATATTGTTTCTAACAGATTCGTTTATTTAAATAATTAAAAAATAAGAAGAAAAACAAATCTAAATAATAATAACTATAATACTAATTATAATAATTCAATGCTATAATATAAATTTACACATATTGTTACACTTGATCTTCGCCCAACATTTTATCTTACCCTTGTGACAATCCACTAGCATTTAGCCCCTGAAA